TTTAAATTCGACTTGTGTTAAGAAAGGCAGAGGTAGACCTAGGAAGACTTGGGCTTATTGTATTAAAAATGATCTTAATTTACTAGAACTAAATGAAAATATGACACTAAATAGGACGCAATGGAGAAAAAGGATTCATGTAGCCGACCCCACGTAGTGGGATTAAGGCTTTGTTGTTGTTGTTGTTGTTGTTGTGTTTTCCACATCTTAAAAAATAAAATATTGATATTTTTGTCCGTCTTAAAAGAATTGGATGGTATGATTTATAAGGGTTTATTACTAAACAAAGGAATTAACAGTCTCAAGTAACAGCTAAAAGTCTCATTGATTAACTGTCAATAATCGACCATTATTACTAAACAAAGAGATTAATTAGCTTTTTTTACCAATTTATATATAACATAGGATTAATTAATTTACTATGAAAAGATTATCATGAGGTTAAAAAACTAAATTAAATAATAAAAAAGGGGAGATAAATAGGCAAATGATGGTCATGGAAAAATAAATAAGTAGAACCTAAATAAAGGGGGCATTTACATACAAACTACCAATTCCTATGTATTTATATATTTATACCACCTAAAGATTACTTTTTTACATTTATACGATCCAAATCTTTTATATAAAAAATATATGTATACATAAAAAAAACATAAAAATTGAAGTTTAGGGCTGATGCGTGCTAAAAAATTTGCGGCGATAGAGGAACGGACTATCGTCTTAGCGTTGTATGAAAGTTCAACACACACAGAGATAAAAAAAGAAACAAACGGTGATGATTCCAGAAGATTTTACGTGGAAAACCCGTAAAAGGAAAAACCACGGGGTCTGGCCCAGTTGCGGAAATTCATTATTGAATTGATGATTACAGAAATCTCTTATCCCGCAGACGGGAAAATGATTACTATATTTTTCAAATTACAATGTTGGCTGATGGTTGGCAGAGGTCGACGATGGTAGACAGGGTCGACGGCGATTAGCGGTGGTTCACGACAGAGGTTGGCGGTGGTCAACGACGATCGACGGTGGTCTTCGGCAGACGGTGATGGTCGACGACGATTAAAGGTGGTCGACGACGAAGGTTGTCGGCGGTCAACGACGATCGGCGGTGATGCTGAGTTGCAGCTTCTTCTCAAGGTCTTAGGCTCTCTCCCTAGACTTTAGCTTCCCCTCATGTGAGAGATGAGGGGTCTATTTATAGTGTTCTGAGTGCAATTAATGCAGGAATATGAACCATTTTGATCAGACGGTCCAGAGAGCTTCCCTTGATCGTACAGCGTTTAATGGACATTTGAGTGTTTTAATGATGTCAGAATTGAGTGATATTGGACTTGTTGGATTCTTCTTATCGAGCCATTCGATTTGAGTATAAATTTGTCATATTCGACAATCGTTTTACCTTCCACATGTGTCCGAAAATTTTCTAATTATTGTTCAATGACTTGATTTGGGTTGATTCGACTCGGATTGGACTAGTTTTTATATCATCATGTCTGTTTGATCGAGCCGATCAATTTGACTATAAATTTGCTGAAATCAGAGCTGAAGATAATTTTTTATTAAGATCTGAACATTTTTTGTTCAAAATATCGTCTCGATATCTATGCGGAATGATAAAAATTTGTCGGTGACGTATCAACCACTGTTACTAACTTATCAATATAAACAAAAGGATATAAATGTAAAAAATCAAAATTTGTATAAACCGCGTGATGTATATGTAAATTCCTATTTTCATTTTTTATACCATTTGGCCCTCTCCCTTCCCTATATAAACGAACTCCACGATCCATTCTCTCCATCGATCGCACCAAGCGAACCCTAAAACCCACTAAACAATGCCACCTCACGAGCTTCCACGCGACTCCAATGGCAGCCACCCCAAAGACCCAGCCGTTAACGGTAACAGTAACGGCAACGGTAGCAACCCCCTAGCATATCTCCCCACCGTCGTCTTCCCCATGACTCTCAAAGTAAGCCCTCCTTCCATTCCTCGCATTTAATCTTCTAATTAAACAACACCAATCCTCATAACTAACCCTAAAAATCATTAATCGAACCAGTTCGAAGAAGTTGTTTACAAAGTGAAGAACGGAAACACGAAGGAGAAGACGATTTTAAACGGAGTGACCGGTATGGTGTGCCCGGGGGAGATGTTAGCTATGCTGGGTCCATCCGGAAGTGGCAAGACTACCCTCCTCACCGCTCTCGGCGGCCGCCCCCCCCCCACACCTCCTCTGCGGTAAAATCACCTACAACGGACTCCCGTTCTCCGCCTCCGCGCGCCGCCGCACCGGTTTCGTCGCACAGGACAACGTTCTCTACCCGCACCTTACCGTCACCGAAACCCTAATTTTCACCGCGCTGCTCCGGCTGCCGCGAACCCTGACGCGAGGGGAGAAGGAGGAGAAAGCGAGGAGGGTGGTGAGCGAGTTAGGGTTAGGTCGGGTGGCGGATAGTGTGGTGGGAGGGGTGAGGGTGAGGGGGATATCGGGAGGGGAGAAGAGAAGGGTGAGCATAGGGATGGAGATGCTGCT